TCCATCGGGCGCGTTACTTAATTGGGGCGCTTTACTTTCATGGGCGCGTATTCATGGGCGCTTTCAATTTTCGTCCTTTCATGATTTCGGGCACATATTTATGGGTGCTTTACTAAGCGGGCGCAAATTCTTACGGGCGCATTCATTTCGGGCACATATTTATGGGTGCTTTACGAGCGTGGGCGCATTTCTTTCTTGGGCGCATGGGTTGAAAAGGGATCATTCTAGGGAGCTTTTTCATAAACACAAACAGAGGCGCCTTAACACGACGAGCGCTTTGGTTACACGACACGAGGCGCTGAACACAACAAGCGCTTTTGGTTACACATAGCACTACAAACTTACTCCCGCAGGCGTTCCCCTTTGGCTTCTCACACTGCAGCCTCCTTGCCCCCCAGTTGGGCGCAATACACACGCAAGTTCTGCGCGTTCCATGTTCTCTTCACCGGCTTTCCATTCAGATGTTCTAACTTAAACGTAGCCGCTCCGATGACTTCCTTCACTCGATACGGGCCTTTCCACTTGGGAGCTAGCTTTCCCTCCTGCGCACAGGGCCTGAAATCTCGCTTGAGAACCAAGGCGCCTATGGAGATGCCGTGAGGGCGCATCTTTCTGTTGTAGTATCGAGCCACCTGCCTCTTCATTTCCTCCAGGCGCATAGATGCCACCTCACGTCGCTCATCGGAGAGGTCCAACTCAGCAACCCTGTTTTCTTCATTTCGGCCTGGTTCATAATTCGCCACCCGGAAACTTGGAATATTAACTTCGACAGGGATCACCGCCTCGCTTCCATATGTTAGCGCGAAGGGCGTCTCACCGGTGGCTACTTTGAACGTCGTTCGGTGAGCCCAGAGAACGCTTGACAACTCTTCCACCCAACGCCCCTTGGCGCCGAGGAGCCTAGTGTGCAACCCGTGTAGGATGCACTTGTTAGCCGCCTCAGCTTGCGGGTATGCTACAGATGAGAACCTCAGGACTACCCCATGCGCATCACAAAACTTGACAAACTGCTTGCAATCGAATTGCTTGCCATGATCGGTGACAATAGACTCCGGCAACCCAAAGCGAGTGAAAATGTTCCTTCTTGTAAACTTGCGCACTTGTGCTTCCGTAATGGTCGCCAAGGGCTCTGCCTCCACCCATTTTGAAAAGTAGTCAATGGCGACGATCAAATACTTCAGCTGTACGGGTGCCTTTGGAAAAGGACCTAGAAGGTCCATACCCCACTGAGCAAAAGGCCAGGCGCCCGTGTTACCCTGCATTGGGGCAGCGGGTATATGAATGTCGTTAGCATGGATCTGACACTGGTGACAGGCGCCCGTCTGGGCCTTGGCATCCTTTCGCATTGTTGGCCAATAGTATCCCTGACGAAGCAACGTTTTCTCCAAACTACGAGCGCCAACATGCATTCCACAAGTACCGCTGTGGACTTCTTCCAGCGCCGCCTGACCTTCTTCCTTGGTTAAACACCTCAAATATGTTCCTGAATGGGATCTCTTGTACAGGCGCCCCTCGATTATGGAGCACCGAGCCGCCTTGCGCCTAAGCCTCCATGCCTCCTTTGGGTCCTCTGGAACTGTACCAGCGATTAGGTATGCCAGGATGGGCGCCATCCAACCGTCAGTTTCCATAGAATCCCCCACGGTTGCTACCACGTATTCCTGTGGAACTTCCTTTGTGACGATAACCTTCCTATCCTCAGCGAAGTCTAAAGCCGTGGCCAATTTTGACAGTGCATCTGCATGGGCGTTTTCTTCTCTTGGGATGTGCACGAAGTCCAGTTCCCTGAACTAGACGCCTTCTCTTCTGACTGCCTGGACATAGGCTTCTAAGGCTTCCTCTTTCACGTCGAACGCCCCATTGAGCTGGTTGACCACAAGGGCTGAATCGGACTTAACACTAACATGTTGGGCGCCCAATTCTCGTGCCATGCGGAGCCCTGCCACGACCGCTGCATACTCGGCTGCGTTGTTGGTTTTAAGTTCTGAAAACCGCAGAGCAATCTCATGCATGACCCCACTTGGGCTAATAATTACTATTCCTGCCCCGGCGCCCATGCGGCTCGCCGCCCCGTCTACTTGAACTTGCCACGTCTCCTGATCGACCCCTTCAGTCTCCACTATTCCCTCCGCCACAAAATCGGCAATCACCTGAGCTTTGATGGCAGGTCGAGGCGCGTACCTAATGTCAAACTCGCTTAGCTGCACGGCCCACTTAACAAGGCGCCCAGCCACATCCATGGAGCCCAAGGTAGCCTTGAGAGGTAAATTAGTGAGCACAACGATAGTATGCGCCTGGAAATACGGGCGTAACTTGGTAGCGGCGGTCACGACTGCCAAGGCAGCCTTTTCGATAGGTGCATACCGTCTTTCATGCGGGCCCATCGTCTTACTCACGTAGTACACCGGCCTTTCTTCTCCCGTAGGCGCCTCTCTTGACACTAGTACCGCACTAACCGCCACGTCCGAGACCGCAATGTATAAATACAGGACCTCCCCTGCTTTGGGTGTCGTCATGACCGTGGGCGCCGCCAATAGGCGCTTCAGCTCTTCGAACGCTTCGCTACACGCCTCGTCCCATTGGAAGCGAACCGCCTTCTTGAGGACCCTGAAGAAGGGGGCCGCCTTGTCGGCCGACCTTGGTATGAAGCGCCCCAGAGCTGCAAGTCTCCCCGCTAAGCCTTGTACTTCCTTAGGCGTCTTTGGCGGTGCGAGTCTGATGATGGCCTCCACTTGCTTCGGGTTTGCTTCAATCCCCCTCTTAGTGGTCATGAAGCCCAAAAACTTGCCTGCCTCTGCGCCAAAGACGCATTTCAGGGGGTTGAGCCGAAGATTGTGAAGGCGCATGGTTTCAAAGGTCTCCCTCAAATCACCTAGGTGATCTCCCCGCCTGTGGCTCTTGACTATCAAATCATCCACATATGCCTCCACGTTCCCCCCGATCTGTCGTTGGAAGACCGTATTCACCATGCGTTGATACGTGGCGCCTGCGTTCTTTAGTCCAAATGCCATGACCCTATAGCAAAAGTTCCCAAAGGGCGTCATGAATGCCGTCTTCAACCGATCTTCTTCAGCCATGGGGATCTGATGGTACCCGGAAAACATGTCGAGGAAACTAAGCATCTCGTGATATGTATGGATATGTCAGTTGGCTTGGCCAAATATGTTGGTCGACTCAAGACCCCAACACATAAAAAGTCAAATTCAAACGAATTTCTCTACCACGATTGGAATAATCGTTGAAACTACTCAATCTGTCATGGAAAAAGAATGTGACAGAAATTATTTTTGTTAGTGTGATTCACCAAATAAGACCTCCAGTTAAAGCAAGTAGACTTGTCAAACACATATGAAACTAATGTACCAACGAACCAATAAAAAGAATTGCTACTATAGTTCTACACTCCCCTTAATAAGTCAGATGTGTGTGTATATATATATATATATATATATATATATATATATATATATATATATATGCATTGACGTCGTCCCTCGGCCTGATTTTCTTCTTCCATCAAATGGATCTGTTGATGCCCGCTTGATCCTCCAACTTCCCTTCCGTACCAGCCCTCTCCTTCGCGGATAAGCCTGCACTCACAGAGGTGGGCCTTGTGGCCCGTTAGTCCTCCAACGCTCAAGTCAGTACGTTTCTTAGTGAGAGAAGTGCTTATTATGCACTATTTTAGTGAGAGAAGCCAAATTGAGTAAATGCTTACCAACCTCACTATTTATAGCCGATCATTGCTTACCTGGACCTTCCTGTACGGATTTCCACGTCACCATTGCATTTAATGCGAGTGATTCCGGGCGCCCTCTTTGCAAGTGATTCCGGGCGCCCTCCTTAGGTACGCACAACTCACAAGCGCACCCTAGGCGCCTAACGTGCGAGTACTCTTACCACACTGGGCGCTCAGGTCGACTTGCTCTTCTGATCTAAACCCATGGGCGCCAGTCACGGCCCACTCCGTTTCCCTAGACCCACTCCAGAGTCTTGAGTGAGCTCAACTTTCCTTAGACTATTTACGAACAAGGGCTTGGTCTAGTGGAAATACCACTAGCCTAGAACCTGGAGGTCCCAGGTTCGAATCCCTTAAGTAGTACCTTAATAACAACAAAATAAAACCTATATCACCCTTATCAAAAAAAAAAAAAAAAAAAAAAAAAAAAAAAAAAAAAAACTTTCCTTAGACTATTTAGACTCCTTGCTTCTTAATGGGCCTCACTCACATATTGAGGCCTTCTCATTCGAACACCCCCAACAGGATCCATATAATTTTGGACCGAGCCCAGACTTATAATCATAACTCAACCCGGCCCAGCTAGCTAGAACCCTAGAACTGCTGCTCTACAGCTCTAGCCTCTAGCTCTAGTATACACGTAGTTTGAATAGAATGTGGTTGTATGAATATTACTGATGTAATGTAAATATGGTTATTTATTATTGGATTGCTAAATGGCGCGGCCGATCTGTATAGGATTCCGAATATTTGCATATAATTCTATTTTGCTCTTGCATCGAGGTTTTTTTTGTACGCCATCGGCCCGTGAGTACCATGAGCTTGGCCTGTCATGTCAGGTCTACCAGATCAATGTTTCGAATCTGTAAAACCTCTGTTCCTTTTTCCCTTGTTGTTTGAATCACGTTGAATTTTATCCTTTCATATTATTTATTCGGTCAATTTTTTTCCAGTCCGGTGAAATCTCTAACGTCACTCCAATGAGTATAGTAAACAAGCTAAACCTGATGCACTTCATGATCTTAAGCTTTTCATACGCGATATAAACAATTAACCATAATCTGAAAACTAGGAAATTGTTTGGAGTACTGAAACATTATGAATAACACTAGAATGGAGGAGAAGGGTAGAAGAACCAATTTGGCAAACTCAGGCGTAAGTAACCCAGTCGTTGTTGTTGGACTACGTAGTGTTGAACCTTGTCCAAATCTCACTGACCTTTCTTTCTAGTGAGATGTAGCTGAAACAAACGTGACAGCCGCCACAGGAAAAAGCAGATTGCAGCAGCAGATCTTACACATACACAGAGAAAGAAAGAACCAACCCAGTAGGAGCTAGCTAGCTAGCTACTCAGTGTGACCACTGCCCACTTGAGGACGTTACGTTACGTTGGATCACCACCACCACCTTCTTCTCCAGCTCGTGACGTTTGTGGTCACACCCTGACGACCCTGCTGCAACTCGCAGAAACACAGTCCTCTAATAACAATTTTCTTTTCTTTTCTTTTCTTTCTTTTACTGCCTAATGTTAAAAAAAAAGGTTTTTGGAGAAACGAAATCTAAGGGAAAATGTGTTTGCCTTTTTGCATGGATGTGGCCCGCACAGCAAGACAGAGAGGGAGACAGGTGAAGAGAGGGTCGTCTCCTTGAAATTGGCATCACCTCTGTCTCTTTCTCTTCTGTCTCTTCCGGCCAATATGCCACTTCATATTCACATGCACTCTCTCTCTCTCTCTCTCTCTCTCTCTCTCTCTCTCTCTCTCTCTCTCTCTCTCTCTCTCTCTACTTCATCATCATTCAGCATCATCCTTCTCTTTCTTCCCAACCCATCACTGCCCGATGTTGCCATCCTTTCGCAGCAACGTATCAGCTATCCATCTATATATCTGTGACGTAAAACCAAATGATAGGAGATATATAATATTAGGGTTGGGAAAATGGGTAATTACGTACGTTATGTCTGATTGCCTTGTGCAGCTGATAGGAATGTGTAAATGTAACTTATTGTACTGTATATTTTATATTCTGTCATTTAGAATGAACCAAATTCAGAACGATATATATATTGGTGGGAATGAAACACAGCAAAAAATCAAAGAAATCGTTACTTTATCGAAAATGTGTTGAAAATATAATGGTGTTTCATCATGACAGGTTTTACACGCCAACATGTCTACTAGCTATCTAGGATGAATATCCGTATAAAACAAACACCACCTTAAATCTAACTTGGTTAACAGCTCGGTCGACATATATCTATAGTCTTATCCAGTTACCAATCAGATCTCAAAAAAGACACAAAAAAAATGAGGACCATAAACAAATTTCAAAATGAATTTGATTCAATTTATTTATTTGAAGAAGAAAATTTATTAAATAAATGGGGGGAAATGGATCTCTAGGATTCATTAATCAAATTGTATCTATGTTTGTCGTTTGATGTGTTCGAATTCTTTCTCTTTCTAACTTTACATTTATCGAAAAACTGCATAGTTCATAAAAAAAATGAACCAACTCCAATTTACACAAGTAATAAAAATCTAGGGATGATTTGGTTTTGTTGATAGTTAAATTGATATATTATTATAATGCATGTATAATAGAGAATTACTATATTGTAGTTCACTTAGTTTGATTTATGCTGTGGTAATGGGCTAGGGTTACAAATTTATAATCTATAATCAGATAACGAGTCGATTCCATGATTAGAAGCTTATTACATCAAACAATATGCATAAAATTAAAATAAAACAATTCATTGTGAAAGATACAAACGTTGTAATAACGTCAACTAATCACCGTGTAATGATTTTCTAGAGGTGTCAATTGTCACCAATTATACATGAAATCTTTTTTCCCTTCCTCCCCATTATTGAAACGAGAAAATTTGAAGTACTAAAACCTACTATTAGCTTGTTCAATCAATCACGTTAAAAAGAAAATGCATGTTATATGTATTTCCACGCGGAAACCCTTTGACGAAAAGAAAAAAAAAATATCATAAATAAATTACCTGTCGGTGGTAGGGAGGGCAACTAGCCAGCAGCTAGGTCAGTGATGTCCAGCCGACGACGACGACGACCGGTAACTCGGGTGAATCAGCTCCATCGCCGCCGCCGCCGCCGCCGAGTTCGACATCGACCCCAAAGACGCGTACCTCGCCAGCTCCTGCTGCAGCATCATCGGCCTACTATTCCCGCCGCCACCTTCATGATGTTGATGATGACCTCCCACTCCCAAAAAGTCCCTCGTAAACCCACCCTCCCCCGCCTCCCCTCCTCTTCCTCCTCCTCCTCCGCCGCCGCCGCCACCTTGCATCGCCATCTCGCTCATCAGCATCCTCTCCGTGTCACCCGCCGCCGCCGACGCCATCGAGCTCACCAGCTCGTTCAGATGCCCGTTACGTCCCCCAGCTGGCATCATGCTGGACAGCGAGGGCGTCGACGTCATCAGCCCGACGCCGCCGAACCCGGCGGTCGGGTTGCTCCTCGTGGACCCCATCTGGGCGGCTTTCTGGAGGAGCGCGGTGGCCGACATGTGTCCCGCGGATTGAAGGTGGTGGCTGTTGGAGTAGAGTCCCGCACCCGTTTCTGACGAGGAAAGGAGATCTCTACTACTACTACTCTTGTTGTTGTTGTTGTGGTTTTGGTGGTTTTCGTCTTCCTCCTTCATCATCATCATCCCACGTGGCAGCCCCATCCCGGACAGCTGTCCGGTGCTCCACTGTGGAGGTGGAGGAGGAGGGCTCATCATCGAACCGAACATGCTCGGTTGGACCAGTTCGGGTGGCAACCCGAACGCGTTCGGGTTGCCACCACCACTGCTGCTGCCTCCTCCTCCGCCGCTCGCCATCTGATCCATCCACATCGGCATGCCATTCCTCGCGGCAGACTTTTGATGATGCACTCCTCCTCCTCCTCCTCCTCCTTCTAGATTGCTGCTGCTCCCTCCGCCGCCGCCACCGGATAGATCCGATCCCCCGCCGGTGGAAAGCTCCTGCGCCCTGAACATGCTCGGGAACTGGGACAGGCCGGCGCCGGACTGATGGTGGCTGAGTATCGGGTTCATCAGGTCGTTGCGAAAGTTGGCGGATACGGACGTGAATCTCGCGCTTTCCTCTGCCAGGGCGTCGCAGAACGCTCTGTGCGTGATGAAGCTGTCCTTCCTGTCCGATTGGTAAAATTCAGTCGCGGTTCAGATCAACCAACCAACACACACACAAAAAAGCATATAACAAAACACACACGCGACCTTGCTACCACGATTTACTGAGATTCAGCCCCGTAACAAATTTGTAAACTTTGGCATATCTATATCCACTATAGGAAAACGTTTTTTTTTTTTTTTAGTTTGTGTTATAACTTGCACAAGTCAAACCGACTATTGCGAGAAGATCTCGCAGACAGCAGCCGCCATGAAAGAAGGCAAAGCAAGAGAGCATTGAATTCCCCTCACCTAACACGACGATGTAATAATTAAGAACCGTCGAAAGAGGAATGTTTGTCGGGGAAAATTTAAATGGGAGGGAGGAGAAGATTCGATGGTGGGAGAGGAATTATAATTGTCTACCTGGAGAAGAGGGTGCCGCAGTCGCAGCGGTACTCGCGGGTGCCGCAGATCTTGCTGTGTGCTTTCCAGTCGGACATGACGGCGTACTTCTTGGAGCACTTCTCGCACTTGTACTTCTTCTCGCCGTGCTTCCTGCTGAAGTGCTTCTTGATCCCCGTGAGGTCGCCCAGCGCCCGGGCGGGCTCGTGGTGGACGCACGTCTTCTCGGGGCAGATGTACACCTTCTTCCTCACCACCTCCGTCTTCGACCGCTGCTTCAGCTTCCAGGGCAAGTTGTGCCCTCGCCGGTGGAGCTGCAGGTTCTGGTCCCGCTGGAACCCCTTGTTGCATATCTCGCACAGGAACCTGTTGGTCGCCATGAGCGACTTGGGGGACAGCGCGATGACTTCTGCATCTGGATCTGCTATATATATGGTTTCAGATCGAAAAACACCCCATCAGCAACAAATTAACAACCCGTGAGACATTTGAGTGGGTTTGGTTAGATATTTAAGAGGAGGAAGGAAGGGAGGAGTTGGTGCTTGCCTGGGGTGCCGGGGAGGTTGCGCTTGCGCTTGTTGTTGTTGGTGGCCGCGGCGGGAGGAGGAGTAGGGTTAGGGTTGGGAGGAGGGTCTTGTTGGAGGTGAAGAGAGGAAGCGGCGGCTGCGGCTCTGCTGAGTGAGGAAGGGACGTGGGAGGAGAACAAATCTTCAGGCATATTCATGATGATGGCTTTTTCCCCAAGGATGGAGAGAGAGAGAGAGAAGAGAGAGGGGAAAGGTTGTTGTTGTGTGTTGTTTGTTTGGAGGTGGTGGTGGTTTGTGAGTTGTGACCTTAAACGAGCTAAAACCAGGATGAGAACAACGACGAAGAAGGCAGGGAGGGAGAGAAAGAGAGCTGAAAACAGGAGGACTAAAACAGGGAAAAAACCAAAAACATCCACCACAGAAACCGCTCAGGTTTCACCACCACAACCAGACCAAAGACATAATCCCAACAAAATGAAACCGAAGAAAAAAACTAGAGAACAACAGTCTTTCTCTCTCTCTCTCTAACAGTAGCTAAGTTGGCTAGCTAGCAAAGTCGCTTGCTTACAACTTTTGAAGAGGAAAGAAAGGAGGGGAACCACTCCACAATCATACACTATAAGACTTAATTATCATCATGGGGGAGACTTGGCTTGTCCCCAAGTTGGATATTTCATATTGAGGAGAGAGAGAGCTGTGGTAGGGCTCGAAATTTAGGTTTGGTTCAGCGGTCTAGTCGAAAGTGAATTCATTGGTTAGGTAATCGATAATCTTAAATTAAACAAATCGAAAAGTAGTCTCGGTTGCAGATTTAGTTCATATTTCGGGTTTTGCATATAATCGCAAATCGAATTAAATCAAAAAATAACCGCATATAACCGCAAACCCAGCCGAGTCTAGGTACTGGTCCACAATATCATTCCAATTTCAAGGTCTTACTAGATTATGGAACAAACCCAATGGATCATTAAATTCAATGTGGATAACCACATCAGAACGGAAAAATCGTAATAATATAATCACAAACCACAACAGTCACGATTGCTGAAATGGAGTCAACTCGAATTTGGGTAACTTGATCTAATTCGATTCGGTTAACCGAATTCCAGCCCTAATTAAGCCATAGTGAGGACTGAGGAGGAAAGAGAAATGGGGGGAGAGGGGGGAAATGAAGAAATGGGGAGAAAGAGGATTACTTGAGAGGTGGCCTTTCCGGTAAGCTGATGAGTAGCTTGAGGCCAAGCCAAATACCAACAAACAGAACGACAAACCTAAACCTAAAGATAGAATATTTCCCTCTCTCTCTCTTTCTCTGTCTCTCTCCTTATCTTACACGGCTGGTGTTGAAATGGTCAGTCAGCCATAGACTCATCAGCTGGACCACCGTATGAGTGTACTGCTGCTATATAATTTCAACAATATTCAAAAACAATTCCATCACTAGTTAATTGTTATATTCTTTGTTGTATTATTGGTGGTGGAAGAGGACAAGAGGGGTTTTGGTCGAACCCTTATTTATTTTATTTATTTTCTATTCGATTCTGTTCATTTCCAAAGCGAATGAATGAGAGCTCAATTCAAGCTCTGGCCTGTGTTATTGGTTTGATGAAAGGGAATATATGTTTTGAATGGGTTTTGTGAATGATGGATGTGTGTTAGAATCCAAAACAAGGCCTGATCTTGCCTCTTAGTATCGAATATTATTTGGATTGCCGAATGCCGATGCAAACATTATTTTATAGTTCAAGTTAGCTAGGGGGAATTAAAGAAGAAAACAAAAGCAAATCCTTATATATTTCTTTCCTTTTTGTAAAGAAAAATGGAATGCATCCATCTCATAATTGGATGCACTTCTTAAGGATTCACATTATCACTTGCGAGTTTCGTTACGAACCGTCATGAACTTGATTAATTACGATGATTATTTTTTGCATCAAGCTGATAGACATGTATTGTTTTACATGTACTTCACTATTTTGTATGCTTTGTTAAGATTAATGGATGAACGTCTTGAAGCTGATACACATGTACTTTCACTATTTTGAGACACAATCATAATTGTCATTGGGTCCTCTATATCTAGTCTTACCAACGCATTTTTTGTTTTGAGAGGCTAAGAGCAATAATTTTTTGCTCTTCCTATATTGAACGATCTTATACATTCCTCGTTTTTTTTGGGAACTACTCAAGATTTTGTATGAATTCTTTGCCCGAGAGAGATTTTGGTTTGCACACTTGCAATTGGCATCATCCACATATATCAACTGAGTATAGAAAATAAAGAAAACATGCATCATTTAAGTGGAGGGCTTAAATAGAGGTGGTTGCTACATTCACATCTTGATATAAGTTGATACTCAACATGCATGTATATACGAATTGAACCGCTTAATTCCATGATTGTCTAGCAGACTACTTCTCTAAGTTCTAACTATACCAACGCTCTTCATGTTACACAGAACCATGTTCTGACCATATACAAATTTATAAAATCAATTTGAGACTGCAAATTTTCTTCATTTCTTTGCTCTGAATCTTCTTCCTCTTTTTTTTTTCTTCTTCTTCTTCTTCTTATCTTCAGGTGAAAATTTTCTTCTCCTTTTTTTAATTTTTATTCTTTTTCGATGAACAAATTACAATGATCTACTTGCCTATAAGTCTATAACTAAGTTAAGTAGTTAACACATGCCCCACATTGAGACAATACAAGCTCTGGAAAATCCTTCTTCTCCGCTAATTAATAAATGCATTTTGTTAATTGAACTATATACATATTTTAATGTTTCTTCAGGTTTTCACCTATAAAAAGAAAACACATTACCTTGCAAAAATTGGAAATTTCTTGAAGAATGAATGGTGGAGGGGTTTGCTCTACTTGTTTCTTTTCTTCCACAATCAACAAATGTTAATATAGGGATTAGGGCATAGGGGAGAAGTCAAAATGATCATGCCATAATTATTGAGTAAGTAGGAGACCCAAAAAGAAGAGATTCGAAAAAAGGAGAGGAACATCAATCAGATCAGAAGGAGAGATGTGGACAATATAATAATAAGAAGCTTGCAGCATCAGAAAAAAAAAAGTTAATTGGTGGGATATGGGGATAGTGGGAATGCCGTCCGTGAAGGGAAAGGGACTCTACCATTATAATAAAACCACAAATAAATACAAGGAAATAAAAAGGAAAAAATTAATGAGTATAGAGAACTTCAATATTATGAATTGGTAATTATTTGATTGATCAACTACACTTGTTTTGCCTATGTCGACTAGTATCATTGGATTGTAGTTCAATGTTATAGTATGGTTGCATCTTAATGAACAACCCCAATAGGTTTCGAGTCCCGGTGACTACTTGCTAGTCAAGGTCGTCGATTACATACTACACGGTAACAACGAAGCCAAATTATGTGCATGGCGCTAATTTAATGTGCTATGAGAGTTTTATACTTTGATTATTGGGGAGACGAATCATGAAGGTGGTAGTCCTTAATATCTTCTCAAGTTTGTATCCATGAGTTTAACAAACCTACATGTCTCCACAAAGATGTCAATCATAAGTAGTGTATAATGGTATGGACTACCTCGACATAACTTTTTTATTAATTATTATGATTAAAATTGTAACTACTGTAACTACCTTGACGTATTTATAGTAGAACATTGTGATTTCTTGATAAGGTGACCGCTTTCAATAATCACAAGTACACTCGTAACGCTTATAACAACGTCCTGCTAAGACTTGATCTTTTCAATGTAGATGTCGATGAAACTTTGTCGGCTATGATGATAAAATTGTGCTCATTCTTTCATCGATGACAACTACGTGCATTCGTCTACTGTATGTTGTGATAGCCTTTGAGATTATATATATCGTGGGATATCAATCACATGTTTTTTTACAACAACTTTGCTGGTCAAATCAACTATATATATGGACGTCAACTATGAGAAACGGTCGATCCTCATTCGCCTACCAAGTTAACACCAATTCATCAAAAGAAAATCAAGGTAAGACCACCAACAAACATAACTCAAGTAACTGTTTCCTCTACCATGATGAGGTTGAAAGGCTACACAATCTTCCAAAAACTGTAAATGTACGTAGTAAATGAGACAAATATATACACAGATATCTTATGAGTAAACACATGTCCAATAATTTGAATTTGTTTTTATCCCATAATTCAACTTTCTGAGAGTTACAGTTTGGTACAGAGGGATCATAATACTATGAATGGCTACCATGAATTGTAACCATTAATTAACATGCTGTAGCTGTTGATTCATAAATCAAAATTGGTGTTGATACAGAGAAAGGAAAGCCCACTAGTATTATGGTTATTGATACATCATCAGCTGGAGTTAAAAAATTTAGTCCGTAATTGGTTTAAGCAATGCAGTGAAATTAAAGCACGATCTATATAAAAAGCGTTTTGGTGATTTAATTAAAAGTATAAAAGTGTTTGTTTCTAAATTTTAAAGTGTGAATTTAAATATATTATTGCACAAAATACAACAACAAAAAAAAGTGATTCTACATAGAAATGCTTTTTTATGACGTAAAAAAGCGTAAACATTTCAACTTTAAATCGCGATTTCGACTAAATTCAAGAATATAGCTAAGCATATGCATGCTTTCCTCTATACTATCTGGCCCATGGTTGTCATGCCGGTGGCATGACAACCGGTTGAACCTGGTTCAACCTGTGCCGGTCATGAAACCGGCATGACACCACCAGTATGACTGGTATGATCGACTTACGCATTCTAAGGAAAATGACATCATTTTAATGAATTTAATGAATAAAAAAATTAATTTATTATTCATTTTATGAATGTAATAGTTAAAAGTTGATGATATTTGTTGGATTGTAACTAAATTGTCCACAAATATGTTTTATATATGATTAAATACATTGGATATTAATTGTTTCATTTTAAACCGGCATGAACCGGCACAAACTGGTTATACCACCGGTCGTACCATTCCACTTCCCAAACCGGCATAACGGTATAAACCGGTTTGACAACCTTGATCTGGCCCAATCGTGTCCTGCAAAGTGAAAAGAAGAAAACCCAAATGAAAGCAGAGGGTGATGAAGAGGATGGAGCATTCATGGACAAGTAACTTTCGAAGTTCATCAGGAGAGTACTCATTAAAAGGTCTCCCTTTCGATAGGCTAGTGAAAA